TATAAATGTTTGTTGAAAGTGGTGAGACTTTAATAAACTATTGAATCTGAATCTATTGAATCTATAAATTGTAATGAAACTGGTCTGTCAATTGAAACGTCACAAATGACAAGATAATTTATTTTCCTATTTAACTAAATGAAAAAAGAAGAATTATTGTATAAAGCATTAAAAAGTTTTTAAAACATACTTGTGCACATGATAAAATTAATAAATAATTTTTTCATGTCAGGCTATACATTTTAACATGGGTTGGCATATAATGAAAAAAATATTTCGTTTCTAATAGGAAAATTCAGAACCTTTTTCTTTCGAAGCGGTCCTATACATTCGTAGCGACCCTATACGACACGTTTGAAGAGACCCTAAGACACTTTCGTGGCGGCTATACGTATAAGACACTTTCGAGGCGGCCCTGTAAGACACTTTCGTAGCGGACCTATAAGACACTTTCGAAGCTGCTCTATAAGACATTTTGATAGGGGCCCGATAAGACACTTTCGAAAGGCAGTCATTTTAATTTGATAAAGCGAAAACTAACCGTTTCACAATAAAAAATGTACAAACACACAAAGATTTACTTTTTAGAAGTATTATTGAAACTAGCGAGCAACATCCACACCGATGCTCATTTGATTTTCCCGTGTCGTTCAAATACAACAGATGTATCAATTTTCAACTGGGACGCAACTCACGCGTACCAAGATTGTTATTGCAATTAAAACTTGAATATCTATACTACATTTGTACTAAAAGAAGAGACCGATTTCATTGAGCCGCAACTCCTCTGAAACCATACAAAGTCGGAAAAATTTGTGATATGACGTATAAATGTAGTGTTTTGTACTTCTTAAATTTGTCGTTCAAACAAAAATATTGTCCTGCCTATTTATTTTTCCCTCTATTCGGTCCTGCCTTTTTATTTTCCCCTCTATTCGGTCCTGCCTTTTTATTTTTCACTCTATTCGGTCCTGCTTTTTTTTTTAAAGTTCATCCTGACTTTTTTTTTACATACATTGTCATCCTGCCTTTTTTTTTTGCAAATAATCCCATCCTGCCTTTTTTTTACTCAAAACTCCTGTCCTGCCTATTTTTTTCAAATTTCATCCTAGCCCCCCCCCCCCCCCCCCTAAAAATCAAATGGTAGCTCCCTTATACGCTTTCGCGCATGATCAGTTGATCCCTTTCGGTAATGTCAACGGATTTTTATGAGTTAAAAGGGTAAAAAACTACTGAAAATCACACTTTGCCACACTTTTCTTAGGGTATTTAATATTTTTATTTTCCAACCGAGAGGAATGGGGTCTTTGCATTATGTTCTTCATTTTCATCTCTTTAAAGAAATAGAATTAACTGCATTAACCGTGTCCAAATCCTTACTGTGTCTACCTTATTACTAAGTCCACACTCTTTGTTTCAACACTTGCCCAATTGTACCGCGATTTCGCGGGCATCTTCTAGTGTTTACTACGCTAAAGAAATCGTCATATTAGAATATAATATAAAAGGAAGATAGATTTATTCGTATGACGTGTTTTTGCAATGTACCTTTTCAATATAAGTATAAAAGACATTTTCGATCTCTTCAATATTTATTTTATCCGATTTTGAAGTAATAATTATCATGAATAATCTTTGTAACAACTCTTTGGAAATTCCTATTTCATCGATTAAACAATGGCCTTTCAACGTTACTCGCTTTAAACATACTGTAAACATGGAAGTCTTTTGTCTAAAATTGATATCAAATATGCATACCGTCTAGAGTAAACTAGCGTAAAAATTAGAAAGTATAATTTTAAGTACAATTTAAATTTTACAACAATCTAGGATAATAAGGTTTGCAGAAACTTTAAAATGGCGTTTAGATGTCAACTCTTTGTAGGAGAAGGCAATAACAAAAGAAATTTTTGTTTTTAGATGTTTTGCGTTTCTATATTTTTATGTTCGACGGGCGATGATAAAGCGAAGCTAAATTCGAAGAATTAAGGAAGAATAAAATTGAGAATGGAAATGGGGAATATGTCAAAGAGACAACAACCCGACCAAAGAGCAGACAACAGCCGAAGGCCACCAATGGGTCTTCAATGCAGCGAGAAAATCCCGCATCCGGAGGTGGTCCTCAGCTAGCCCCTAAATAAAATTGTGTGCTATCTAAGTCTATCTAAATGAATAATAGTAATAAAAAAACCAATACAAGATTACACAGAAAGTTCAAAAGATTTCTTGCAAATGATATATTCCTCACCACTATGGATGTTTTGTGGCATATTTTTGTGGGAAAAAAATTATACTGTCATCACCCTGAAATCTTTCGATATCAAGATAAAACAAACAAAACCTTAAGTCTAAAATTTCAATGACAATAGAGGAAATATGTGTGTTAGAGTTGTGTGAACACTTAACAACAATATCATGCTTAATGAAGTTATTGTCTTGTCTTACCTACCAAACAAAACAATAATTTCAAAAGAACGATGATTTCGTTTCATTTCTTCATGTAGAACCGGATCTGCTTACCCTTCCGCAGCACCTGAGATCACTCCGGTTTTTGGTGGGGTTCGTGTTGCTTAGTCTTTAGTTTTCTATGTTGTGTTTTGCATACTGTTGTTTGCCTTTCGTTCATTTTTTGTTTTTTTGGCTACGGCATTGTCAGTTTGTTTTCGACTTATGACTTACAACAAGGTCAACTCAACACCTAATGTCGACGTATGAAGGTAGACAATCGTGACAAGGGGTTTTCTGACTTTATCTGCCAGTAAGTAAATTATGCTTAGTTCTGCTAACGCCTGACAACACTGAAACTCCAACCTGTTTCAATGTACAGCAGCTGACCTATGATGAGATCCGTAATACTGTTTTCAATCTAAGTCAATTGTCTATAAATTCCACAATAAATACACCTGTTGCCAGGATACAAACCCAATACATTTAGCGATGTTATCTTAATTAATGCAGCAATAGAGTTCAATCGAACAGGTTGTGTCATTGTACGATGCAGGCTTTAACTCAAGACCCAAACTTCAGTACACAATCTAATAATTGATATTGTTTTGATTATTGTTTCTTAAGATAATAAACTCCGTGCTGAAGGTTGTACTTTGACCTATAATTGTTTACTTTTTACACATTGTGACTTGGATGGATTGTTGTTTCATTGGCACTCATACCACATCTTATTTATATATATATAGAATGCTAATAGTACTGTTATATATTGAATGTTTGATTTTAAAGCCACTTTCAGGACTCTTGGCATAACGTGTTCGTCAGTTTTTATTGGTGTGGGAAACCAGTGTGAACCACTCACCTTCGGCGACTGTTATATAGATAATCACTTAAAATAGGATTTAATTCATTTTCCAAACAGATGATTTATTATCACACTTCTTGTCAATTCTTAAAAGAAGATTTTGCAAAAACACGTAACCTAAACATTTAAATTTACCACTTAGTATGATTAGTGTAATAAATATAAACTTTTAAGTTACGAATGTCAAATATTAAATTGACTTCTAAATCAGTATAAACTACAAATTAGAAATGTTAGCTCTGTCAAACATCGATAAGGGACATTATACATTTATTTCCCGTGCCTGATGGATATATGAGAATTTGTTCACCATAAAAAAATTCTTATTTCCCGAGGGTTTTGCTGTACCTACTTTTTAACCCAATGGTACGTTAGTGCCATTTTAAAAACATATTCTTAACAGATTATTTTCATTGTGCGTCACACTACTGATTTACCGAGTTGTCTCCCTTAACCATATTCTTTCCCACCAAAGTAACCCGAATAATGTCAGTCGTTATATTCCGCCGATCTCCGTCTAATCTCCGATTGCTACATTAACGATAGGCTATAGGCCGCTAGAGGGCGCAGAATTATTCGAGTTACCACCAAAGAAGACATATATATATAAAATACAATCTTCATCGATAATCGCTACGTATGTAAAAACATATATATGCGAGACAATAACTAATAACAAAAACGGTTCGTTGTATTGCATGAATAATTTTGATTGATTTATTAATATAAAAATAAGGAGATGTGATATGACTGCCAATGAGACAACTATCCACCCAAGTTCAAATGAAGTGCATAGTGGAGTTCAGAAAAATGACAGTTATCGATAGATTTATATGAAAATGTATATGGTTGCTTATGTAGAGATTGAGTGTCTTATTAAATGGTTTATTGTTTCATAGCATGTTTAATATTTCAGACCCTGGTCTCAATAGAGTTATTTATGTCAATAGTTACTTTAAAATTCAAAACTTTTGAATAATGTAGGTAAACAAGTAAATTTAAATCTCTGATGAAGAGACGTAAACACGTTAATATGATAGATATATATACCAAAGTTGAACATTTTTCATATTCGATTTCGCATCGGTGTCATTGTTCCGTTTCAGTGTTTAAAGTTCTCTTGTTTCCAGGTAGTTATTTATTTTTGACCCCCGTATCTTTTGAAAGAAACATCTTTAATTCACGTTATTACAATTAAATTTTGATTGTACACCCCTATATATATATATATATATATATATATATACAGCACAAACAACATTTTCCAAAAGACCAAAAAGTGAAAAAGTATATTTTAACAAAACGCATTTGACTAGCAGGTCGAACAACGGATGTTCTTAAACCCTGCTGACTGTCATGGCGATTGCCAAATAATTTCACTTTTTGGTCTTTTGGAAAATGTTGTTTGTGCTGTAATTAGACCCCTCTACCAAGAAATTTGTTTTGCATGCACACGTATAAAAATTGCGGTTTTTATCCAACGCAATCATAGGTTTGAACGTTGTTTTCAATTTAGACTTGTATATATATATATATATATATATATGTAATTATGCATTTCATTAAAGTTGAATGAAAGAAGATATTCATATGATATATAATTTTAAGATTTGACTGAATACTTCGACCTATTTTAATTGTATATTTCTTCACGTGTTATCTATACTAATATCGTAAAGGAACTTACCTGAATTTGAACCTGTAACGATAACAATTTTGTCGCGTGGTTGACTAACCATTGGAATACTCTTCGAAGTTCCCATATTAGAAGAAAATTTTGTATAACAACATTAGTAAAATAAACTACGTGCACTTGATCTTAATCCACTGCATATTACTACAGGTTTCTAAGTCAAATATATTAGACAATTCCGAATAAACCTATCAATTCTTTAAGAGAAAAACATTCTGTCAAAACACTACAATCGATCTGAACACCAGAATAAAAATGCTATAATTAGCTTTAAATAGCTAACCGCCTGAATGGCTATTTTCAATACCAAATATGATTACAAGTATGTATATAGATTTTAAATTCCTTTGACTGTTGTTCGAGCATGTTTGACTGACATGCTGGAAAGAATCTGATAAATCACTTGGATATTTTAATTAATTTGTAATATTGATTAGGTATTGTTTCCGTATTACGGATATTTCACAGAATGTCGTTTGCAATAATTTATTGCAGGTGTATGAAGCTGTATATATGGTGTCTAAGATATATATAAGAATTCAATACTAAACTGCAGGTGTTACGTGTAAACGGAAACTAAGATAATAAACACTTTCAATGCAATCAAATTGCATTTCTCTAAGAGTGCTACTTTTTAATCTAAGGAAACATCATATTATGTATCTGAAAGAATTTTAGTTGATATACCAGCTAAAGGTCCGCTTAACCAAAAACTCTTTTTAAAGCATTATCTACTCACCTTGATAGATGAGAGAGGGTTGCCTCCCCTGACTTACTGCGACATAAGATGATGCATAATTGAATTAGTAAATTATTATTTAACCCATCTTGTATGGTCAAGGATTTATATAATCAAATCCCTTAAACTTGATTAAAAATAAAAATTGAATTGAAGAAAAATACCTGTTTACTGTATATTTGTTGTAAAATAATCATAACTGAAAATTTTTGGATACATGATGTAATTTCAAAATTTTTTATTTTTGTTTGTCACAAGCAGTACTTCATATACTTTACGACAATAAAGATTGCTATTAATATAATCATAATAACCTATTACTAATTGACAGGAATCATTTTGTGAAAACTTCATGCTATCATTATTATCAAAATAAAATAAAAAAAACATGCGTTAATTCATCTATGAATGAATACATTGTTTTACCTAACAATGAATAAAGTCAAAAGAATAAAGTAATTTGAGCAATATGTTCTATTCGTTCTCTTTCAAAGAAATCAGTCACAATAAAAAGTAATTTTACTCTTGTGTAAGTCATAGTTCTAGGAATTCAAGTTCCGACAACATGCTTGTAGAATATGTATGAAAACTTTAATATCGATCAAAGATCAGACAACGTAGATATCTTGAATTCACCATACAGATCTTAGAAAAAGATTAGGCATACACTCCTTTATTAGATTTCGGACGTTTGGGAAATATTTATCTAAGGAAATTCCCATCATTGTTTAATTTCAAAAGTGCTTTATATTTATTCAGATTAATGTACAAACATTCCATCTGTTATTTTTATCGACAAGTGCCGAGAAAGGGAGAACAAACATTGTTTTGTATATTTTTGCTGGTTTCCCCGTCTTAATCTCCTCTTTTCAACAAACAGTTAAAGCATCTTGTTCACGATGAACACAAACAACGAAATCTTCGTTTTATTTGATTATGATAGGTACGAATACTGTATGGACTGATTACTAATAGCTCAATAATATATGTTTTAAATTTGCTGGTTGGTCTTTTTCATATCAAGTGAGGAAAACGCAAAATAGATATTATAAGTTCAAACAAAAATTGATTAGATAAATGAGCTACAAAACAGTGGATCGCATTCGTTAGACACCAAATCTCTTGAAAAGATTAAATGACATAAAATTGAGAATGGAAATGGGGAATGTGTCAAAGAGACAACGACCCGACCATAGAGCAGACAACAGCCGAAGGCCACCAATGGGTCTTCAATGCAGCGAGAAACTCCGCACCCGGAGGCGTCCTTCAGCTGGCCCCTAAACAAATATGTATACTAGTTCAGTGATAATGGACGTCATACTAAACTCCAAATTATACACAGGAAACTAAAATTAAAAATGATACAAGACTAACAAAGGCCAGAGGCTCCTGACTTGGGACAGGCGCAAAAATGCGGCGGGGTTAAACATGTTTTTTGAGATCTCAACCCTCCCCCTATACCTCTAGCCAATGTAGTAAAAACAAACGCACAACAGTACGCACAGTAAAACTCAGTATAAGAGAAGTCCGAGACCGATGTCAGAATAGGAAACAAAAGAAAATAAACAAAATGACAATAATACATAAATAACAACAGACTACTAGCAGTTACTGACATGCCAGCTCCAGACCTCAATTAAACTGATTGAAAGATTATGTCTTCATCATATGAATATCAGGCACAATCCCTCCTGTTAGGGGTTTAGTGTTATACCGTCATAAAATATACGAGAAGAACATAACCCGTGTCATGCCAACAACTGGTTTTAGAACAAATGTGTTTAATTCCGATGCAAAGACCCTATAAGTGAATCAATGTTAAAGCCAAAATATGCAATCTTTAATGACCTGACAACAGTTTCGTAACTATATCCCCTCTTAATAAGTCTGTTTAAAGGTTTTGTTAGCTTTTGAGGTGAATACTGACATTTTTGTGCTTTGTAAAGAATATTACCATAAAAGATTGGATGTGAAATACCCGAACGTATAAGATGTCTGCATGTTGAGTTATATTTACGAATGATGTCCTTGTACCGATGATAAAATTTAGTAAATGTTTTGACTAGTTTATGATATCGAAAACTCTGGTGTAATAATTTTTCAGTAATACATAAATTTCTCTCGCTAAAATCTAATACGTTGTTACATACACGAGCGAATCGTACAAGTTGAGATATATAAACACCATAAGATGGTGACAAGGGAACGTCACCATCTAAAAATGGATAATTAACGATAGGAAATGAAAAATCATCTCTTTTATCATAAATTTTTGTATTAAGCTTCCCGTTAATGATATAGATATCAAGATCGAGGAAAGGACAGTGGTCATTGTTAGTATTAGCTTTATTTAAAGTAAGTTCAACAGGATAAATTTCTTTAGTATACATACTGAAGTCGTCATTATTGAGAGCCAATATATCATCCAAATATCTAAAAGTATTGTTAAATTTTTGTATCAGATGTTGTTTCGATGGGTCTTTGCTGATTTTAGTCATAAATTGTAACTCATAACAATACAAAAACAGGTCCGCATACTTGTATTGATCATGACGTCTGTTTGAGAGAGGGGCCAATATCCTTTTAATGTACCTCAAAGTGAACTTGAAATATCATTGATATTTAATAAAATAATTGACTTAGCTTAATCATTTGTGCTGTTTTGAACCACAGAGGACCATAGAATAAAGATGTGAAAACTATGGAGTTATTAAATGTTTCCAAAAAACTTAATTTCCAGCATGATGTCAAAATAGGGATTTTTCATTCGAAGAAGCACCTTCATAAAGAGCCCGACATTATGTAATGTATGTAAAAACGGTGCTGTAGAAAATAGAAGTAAAGCTATGTTCGCATTACTTTTTTCCTGTTTCGTAGCGAGTACAAAAACATCTTAAACATTCAGAGATCGACATTGCTGGAACGAAGATTGCGGAAAGGATATCTACACAGTCATATAAATACATCATTCTATCATATCATGTTGCTTATGAATGTAATAGAAAATGATTCTATTTGCAGGTTAATCTTAGAAAAACATAGAAATTATAACACTAATCTAGAAAACTGTAGACATTTAGTCTTTTCACATTGTCTTAATACACATACTACATCTCTAAATATTCAGATTTTGGACTCATGTTGTGCTACTATACAATGTCTAATGTATTTATAGTTGTAATTCTTGTAGAATTTGTTTTTATCAAACGGCATGGTAATATTGTAGCTACATTCAAGTAATCAAAATTAATATTTAAATATTAAGTAGGTTTTTAATTTCACGGACAACTTAACATTTGCGATGATGGAATAATTGATGAAAAAAGAAAAATGAACAAATTAAATACTGTTTATAAATTAGGAGATAACTGTATTGTATTTCAAAGCTTGGTCTATATAAAACGTAGGTTTTACTGTCGCAAATTGAGACGTCCTGGCGTGGCCTATGCAAATGCCACATTGCAAACTGCACATACACATACATCATACAAAGCCTATGATATTGCGTTGACAGAACTAGAACCTAGTACAATCTAAACTAAAAAGATGTATAAAGAATCTAAAGAATCAAGGAAATGAATTCAATGTAAATGTGATTATAATGAGAGAAAAAGGTGTTTTTGCAAAGGACGTTGAACAACTGGAACCCTATTCTTTGTAACTCTTTCACAAAATAAATTCTAGCAGCTTAACTAATTTGATTTGGTTTGATGACTTAACCTAAAAGAAAAATAAATTAAAAAAGAGATCATCGCTCTTAATATTTATGAAATACTTGTCACTGAACGTTGAGCAAAAACCTATAATCAATCAACCCAAATCTTATGATAATAATGTAACATAAAATATTTGGAAATTCTGAAAGCTTTAACCAATGACGGGCATATATGGCTAGTCTACGCTACTAAAAGGGCAAATCATATGAAACGGTCAACCAATATTCGACTCATGTGTCTTTGAAGAAAGATCCAGTGAATAATTCGCGATGTATCGGAATGGTGTTTTGAATTAAATACAGTGTAATGTTACAAATGCCACCGAAGGCACAAGAGGGGGCCGGGATACATGGATATGTAAAGTTTATAGAGCATCAGTATATACATTTCATGGTTTATTTGAATTCACACTTCCTGAGTTTCCGTTCCCAGTTTTGTATGCTTGTGTACGTCGCATTTGCGCATGGTTTCGGAATTTTAATAATTGCAGGCCTTTGGAATTTTCGAAAAAAAAATATTTGGTAAAAGGTGGGAAAGGGGGTTGCCTCGACGTTTTATGAACCATAGATTTTTTAATTTTCAATTTTTTCTCATGAAATCTCATGAAAAAAAAAACCTTAAAAAAGTTTTTGTAACTTTTTGAAATAGTGAATTTTACCTTGATAAATGTCACAGTCTACGGTATTGCAAAAATAAATGTAGAAAAGAGCATTATATTTCAGGGAAATTAAATCAATTACAAAGGTTGAATGAACTAAACTTGGGCATTGTTTCATATTGCTTCATCCGAATAATTCAGTCTTTTTATAC